AAAATAAACAGATTAAAGTTCGCCTTAAAACGCAGGCTAGGTGTAGGAATGTGGGTCGGAACGAAAGTACAGTCAAATCGAGAAAGAGGCGCTGCCAGCAATCTTCGCAGTCCAGACACTCCACCGATTCATTCGCGACAAGCGTTTCGTACCCCACACGCATCAACAGACGCTTAATCTTTCACTAGACGCAAATTGTAGCGTGCCACAGTACACGACCAAGAGGCTACGAGGGTGCGATACCATACTCCCGAGTAATAACTTCACAATTCAGTACGTGGCCGCTCAAAATTTTGGAGCTCCGGACGCTTCATCAGAACTGAGCGTGGGCGAAGAAAATTGGTGAGACGTGGTAGTCGCCAGCATTCTCAAACAAACCCATGACGAGGTAAGGAATATCATCCGACAGGTGCCCATCACAGCCGAATATATCAGGACAACCATTGCAGCAGACCCAATATTACGCCAAGTTGAGCAGTTTATTTAGAACGGTTGGCCAAGCAAAGACAAGGTACAACCAGCTACAAAGTCTTTCAGAAACCTGAGGCCTTAGCTGTACAGTAGGTGGGCTCACTTATGAAATGTCAACCGAAATTCCGAAATGTATTTTTCGTTTCAAAAAAACTATTTATTTTCAAAAAATGATTGTCATGAAGCATACTTCTGCAATAATTAAGTTCCCTTAAGATGCCAGCTTTCGAACGAACTTCATTTTGGCTAAATGCAAAACTATACTCAGCTAAAAATGGCAAATTAAGTAGCACGCATTTTTGTAATTGGCTTTCGATGAACCTAAAAACTCAATTATATTTCATTGGAAACATGAATAAAAATATTCAATCTTCTTCTCATTTGTTAGCCAAGTACATCTTCTTTTAATTTTATGTTGGAAGAGAGGGAATAACTCGGTTTGCAAAACCTTTTTCAATTCCTAAATAATTTTGAACCCGACCTGCCGTTACACTTGCATTCAGGGTTTCCAAACTAAAAACTGTATATTTTCTGCGTACGGAAAACCGTAAATTTCTCTACGGTACTAAGAGGAGACTGTGTAGGGTTCATAAAATTTAGCGTGGAGTTAAGCCTGATTGTAAACTTTGCAAGCAGCCTTAGTAAATATAGAGACACGATGTTTTTTGAACGGGATTTCAAGGTATAAAAAGCACACAATTAGAAACTTTTTGAAAACCGACTTATACCCTTTCTTCGTGTACAAAATTGATCGAAGACGAAATCTTCCATCGAATGAGCAAAAGAATGAATATCTTTATGCATGTGTTCCATGAAATATGATTAAAATTTTTGGGGCACTAAAATAAGTGAGAAAAACGCGTGCTACTTAAGTTGTCCTTTTTAAAGAGTATAGTTTTTGCATGCAGCATGAAAGAATTTCGTTCGAAAGCTGGCATCCAGGAGTAGCTGAATTATTGGAGAACAATACTCTATGATGATCAATTTAACAACCTTATCTAAATGGTCCTTTCGAAACTAAAACGCATTTCGGAATTTCGGCTGACATTTCATGAGTTAGCTTATCTACTGGACATCATCGAAAAATGTCGAATGTATGATAGTGGAGTGGTAATTCTGGTCAAACATCACCAGCAGGCTTTACTCGAAGTCCATGTCGGACAAAAAATATGACTGCATGAAACAAGTGACACGGATATAAATATATGAGCCAGAAATTGATGACGATGCGAAATCTTTTGAGTGAAGGGTGGCTTCATCTGGACTTGAGGCTACAGACCCAACGAAAATAACCCTTAGGTTGGAACCAAAAGTGACGAGACCGTGGAGAACGGTCCATATGGACTTCACTGGACCATTCCTTAACTGAGTGTTTCTTGTAGTTGAGAACCCATGGCCAAAGTGGCAGGAGGTTTTCGACATCGCGGTCGATACCACCGGAGGGGCAGCATAAAGGAAGGATAAAACTTAATGCAAGGTATTTTAGGCTAGATCGCAGTTGGTAGCCAGGAATGGGGAAGCGGACGGCGACCCTAACCCTAATTCTGACCTTAACGCTAACCCTAACCCCAACCTCAACCCTAAACGTTGACCGTTAGCCCTAACGACAACCCCAACCGAAATCGTAAACATAACCGCAGTCCTTAACTGAAAAACATAACCATAATACTAAACCCTTATCGTACGCTCAAACCCTAACCCTAACCGAAAACTTAAGCCTTAAGACATAACTCTTACCCGAAAATCGGAAATCATTAACCGGTACCCTAATCATCACTGCTCCACGATCGTGTCGGAAATGGCGAATCCGACATTTGGTGTTATCACCATTTTACCTCTAATTAAATGGCCAGGAAAAGCGTTTTGTTGACATCTTCAAGAGCGCATTAAGTAGGATGGAGTATGCAGGCGCTAAAATGAATCGCCTCAACACTTTTCTTTTGGCCTACGGAACAACTCCGATAGATCACATGGGCGGCTAAACGTTGGCCGGGAGTTTTTTGGGCTGACAACCTCATGACGACTAAGTAGTTAAAATCGAATGTCTGAATTTTCAAATCGCAAAAAAAGACTACTTACGAAAGGGAGATAAAGCTTGTGCCCGAAATTACAAACAAAACAAGAAACAATGGGTAGAATCACTGTCAGAACGTCGGGAGGTGTTGTCGTCGAAGTGGAAACCTCGATGTGAAAAATTAAATAGTGTGCGAATCATCTCTGACGTAGGTTCGCCACGTCGATTTGCCATGTGACACGTGTGCAATCCCGACCCCCCAACGTGGACACAAAGCCAACCCCGTCCCGCGTCTGCGAGAGACAGACAGAAGCACAACCACCAAAAAGACTCATCATGGATTAGGGTGGGAGAGATATGAGATTCACCTTTCAAAATAGGGGATATTTAATGAGACAGAAAACAACAATTGAATCGCGTTTGTGACGTTTATGAAGGAAACGACATGGTCAATATCTTTTATAAGAAAGTATAAGCTGTATTTGACGATAAGTCAAAAGCGTACAAGGAGTATGATTCTCCTTACACATAAATATACGGTTTATATATTGGAAACCTTGAGCGCAGGTCTAACAACAGGTAGGTTTAAAATTATTCGCGAATTAAAGAAGCTTTAAAAAACCAGAAGATGTTTTTGGGATTGTGATAACACAAAACGCGACAGGCTACCAAGTGAGAGGAAGAAAGAATATTTTATGCACATTTCCCATTTAATATTTGGAACTTCTAAGGACAATTAAACCTAATGAGAAACGCCACACTACTTAAACGGTTATTTTTGAGGGAGACGGAAAAGAAATTCTTTAAGATGAAGGCACCCCGTTGTGTCTGATATATTTTGGGATTATGCGGCATATCAGTTAATATATCAACCCTTCTGAAGCAATCCCTTGAAAACAAGCGCAAATTTTAAAATTTTGCGAAAATTAAGTAAAATACCACATCTATTGCATGTCGGTGGCCGATATGGACATATTGTCCAAACAAAACTGAATACGGTATCCTTGGTGCAGACAGCGAAATTTTGGTGTATCGGCCTTGCATTCGTTTTTGTTATAATAGATATTCCTGCCATATATAGCACAATTTCCAAAAGCCTGTTTTCTTGTCGTTTGCTTTCAGAAGCACAGTTGAGGAATAGGGGAAACTGGTAGCTTAGGAAGAGAATAAGTAAAGCTTTTAAATTGAGTGCGTTTCGAGTACTACACTATACATAACTATGGAATTTTGGTCCAGAAATATCTGTATAACGTCAGCAATATCAAAAGTAAAAATTATGGCGTCCACACATGTCGGTGATTGCTGATACTTTAAATCTCCTCTTAAATCTGTTGTGGAAGTTTGTTCATTTTATCTCATTCCTCCACGCTCACATCTTTCAATGATTAATCGAAGAAATATTTTTGCAAGATACTAAACTTAAATTTGAACCGAGTGAATGATTGCCGACCGGGTAGTTTCAGTTTCAGTTTATTAAGGGAAATATAGGCGAGCACCTTTGAACTCCCCATTGGTTACAAGTCGTCGGAGAAAATCAGTAATAGTGGGAAAGCTAAAAAAAGGGGTTTTGTACATAATCGCTGACAGCTGGTCAAAAAAGAGTAATCGATAACGGTTACTAACTAACTACAAGTAGTATAGACAAGTTTAAGTTGGTGCTGGGTTATGTGAGTGGATGTAAGGCTGGTAACTGGGAGGCTTGATGCTCGTCAAGTCTCAGCTTAAAGGAATTCACACAGGAGGAGGTTGCAACATCGGTGGGCAGGGCATTCCACGCTGCAACCATTCTGTGACTGAAAAAGGACTTTCGTCCATTGGTTCTTGATTTCCCTGCGCGTAGTTTTAGGGGATGACCGCGCAAATTGATCGTGTTAGCTTGGGTGAAATAATCAGTGGGATCTAAACAACAGTCTAGGCCGTTGATAATGCGAAATGCAAGTATAAGGTCACCAAGTAATTGCCTGTGGGAAAGTGGAAACAGGTTGAGAGTTGACAGTCGAGATTCGTAAGACAGTGCTCCCAGACCTTGTGTCATTTTGGTCGCCCGTCTCTGGACCTTCTCCAAAACGGTATAGTCCTTGGCAGTCCAAGGTCTCCACGCCTGTATGGTGTATTCTAGATGAGGCCTTAAATAGGTGCCAAATATTTTTGAAAATTTGTCTGGATCAAATTCCATAAATGCTCGCTTAATGAGTTGCAGTGTAGCCATAGCCGATTTAGCCGCCTTCGCGCAGTGCAGTGTTGGTTTGAGTGAGGATGTAATCCATACAACCAAGTCCTTTTGACTGTCAACCTGTTGCAGTGGTGTGCCCTCTAGAACGTAGTTCCTGGGGCTGGAGGCTCTGAAGCTGCCTAGTTGAAGAAAGTTGCACTTGCTTATATTGAAGGGCATAAGCCAGAGCTTCGACCAGTCTTCGAGCCTGTTCAGGTTTGCTTGCAGGTGGTCTGCGTCTGCCGCATTGTGAATAACTTTCCACAATTTTATGTCGTCGGCAAACAGGATGGTATCACAGTCTTAGTCCTCGACGCAGTCATTTATGAAAACGAGGAATAACGTGGGACCTAGGACTGAGTCCTGTGGGACGCCACTCACCACGCTTACCTCTGAGGACTGTTGACGCCCGACCTGCACTCTTTGGGACCGTCCAGCCAAAAAGCTCTGGGTCCATACAAGAGGGCGTCCACGAATTCCAGCGTTGCGCAGTTTGTGCAAGAGACGTTGGTGGGGAACGCTGTCGAAGGCCTTTTTGAAGTCGATGTAGATGGCGTGCACCACATTACCTTCATCGCGTGCTTTGGTCCAGCGTTCGAGCGTAAAGAGCAGATTCGTGAGGCAGGACCTACCACTTCGAAAGCCGTGTTGGGCATCAGAAAGGAGATGGTGCTGCTCCAGGAACTGCATCAAGGCCTTCTTAATGATCTTCTCCATGATTTTGCAACAGATGGATGTAAGACTCACTGGCCTGTAGTTATTCGCAGACGCACGACTTCCGCGGAGTGATGGTAGCAGGCTTCCAGTCAGAGGGCAGGCTTCAAGTAAGAAATTATGTTTGAAAGATCAAGGCTAATGGCTCGGACTTTTCGGGAGCTAGCTCCTTCAGCAGCTTAGCGGGGATTGCATCAGGGCCTGAGGAGGTCGATTCTTTCAGATTAAGTAACTAGTTCCAAACAATTGCTTCGATGAAGAATACGGCTTCAAGGGTAGGTTTTTCTTCGTCTTCACAAATGGGGGAGAGCAAATCAGGTTCATTTGTCACGACGGACCGGAAAAACTGAGAGAGGTGTTCAGCTTTATCCTTGTCATCGGAGACTTCCATTCCCTCGGCTGTTCGCAGCAGTGGGATGGGGTCTTTGTTCCGCGTGCTCTGTCTTATGTAGCTGTAGAGGATTTTGGGATTAACCCTGTCACGGTTGAGAAGATCCTTTTCAAAGGCTTTCCGATCTCTAGCGATGAGAACTTTGACCCGATTTCTCTGTGACTTATAACTGCTTAGGGATTCTGGCGTCCGGCCAGTCAGGGATCTTTTCCACAGCTTCCTCTTCTTGTTAACCTCCTTCTTAAAGGATGAAGTCAGCCAGCGGGGTCTATTTGTTACTCTTCTGCGCATGATTGGGCAATGGTTGGAGATGAGATTGTGGACTAACTCTTTGAACTGACACCAAACCTCTTCGACATCGCCGGATAGAGTGGATGCCCAGTCGATAGGACTTAGATCCCTTCTCATCTGTTCGAAATCTCCGCACCAAATATTGGGTCGGGAATCGAGCGGTTGTGCAGGCAGGGAGAATACGGTGTATTCCCACGTGAGAACTACATGGTCACTCTGACCCAATGGTGGGAGGCAATTCACAAGGTCGATATTGTCAGAGGACTGGGTGAACACCAGATCAAGGCAATTCATATGCTGGCCCTCTCGAACTCTCGTTGGAAACATTACGTGTTAAGTAAGAAGCAGATTGTCGGAGGTACGCAGTAACTGCTGGTCGAATGCTACTTCAGAGTAGTCGGCTGAGGCCGAGCTCCAGTTTATGTGAGGTGCATTAAAATCTCCAACGATGAGATTAGTCAGTCGCGTTGAAAATAGCCTAAGCTCCTCCAGCAGTTGGGCATCAGCGTTAGGGTCATTTCTCGGGGGGCGATATACTGTCAAGATATCGAGGCTTTGAGAGCCCAGTGCCCTTATGGTCAGCCACAAAGCTTCCGTACTACAAGTCAAGTGGGCAGTTTTTTCTGAAACGTATAAACCATTTTTAACAAATGTTACTATGCCTCCACCCCTCCTGTTTTGTCTGTCTCTGCGGAACACTTGAAATCCAGGGAGCATGAGTTCTCTAGCATCAATCTGTTCGGAAAGCCATGTTTCTGTTATTGAGATAACGTCTGGGTGGAGGTCATGGGTAAGAATACGAAGTTCATCCAGTTTAGAAAGTACAATTTGCGCGTTGTTATACATGAATATGAGTTTCGAGTTCATGCGTGATTTTTTATCAACCCCGACACAGGCTACTGTGGTATCTGTGCGGTCATTCGGATCGGCTTGATCCAGAGGGGGGCGGAATGTCGTTTGACTATCCGGTCGTTGTAGATTGTCAAGTCTTTTTCTTCGTGTTCTCAATTCTAGGACAAGTTCGGGGCTTTTTATTTTCTCAGCAGGTGAGTAGTCCGGCTGAAAAAACACTCCTTTATGGGAATTTTTCAATCAAAAACGTCCGAAAAGGATTAGTTTCGCCTGCTCATTGCTACCTAGGACAAGTTTCAGGGGTCTTGGTCGTGTCTGTGGAGCGGCGGTTGTACGGCTACCAAGACGAAACGCCCTTACAACTGTGACATCTTCTGTTGGTTGCAGCATTTCATTTAGGAGTTTCTGGAATTGCTCTAAGTCAGCAGCGACTCGTTTCCAGTGTATCGCTATCCATAGCCAGTGTAGTAATAAGTAAACACCTCAGATCTGCAACGGCTGTGTTTATTTACTAGCGCAAAAAATGCAGCACGTAGTTCTGGACCATAGAAGCATCTGAATATTTGTGTTTTGCATCAGTACATACAAATACTGGAGAGATTTATATCGCATACCTTTCTCTGTTCAGTTATCAAATGCTATGTGATGATTCGCAGTGAAGAAAAAGTACGTTAGTAGTTTCTTAGGCACTTATGCCCGAAAAATAGGTTATTTTTCATTTGTATCGGAAATCAAATAAAAAAGCTCTTGCAAGCGCTAAGGACACAACTGCAGATCCCAGACTATGGACAACAGGATAAGACACAAGTTACGAAAGAATCTACACTTGAATGCCCAACGACCTGACAGTGCTAGAGATGCCGAGCGCGTCGCCCTGTGGTGTGTTCATTCCATCCAACTAAAAAAAAACAGTAAATTCAAGAATGACGAAAAGGAGGGCAGAGGAAAAATAGTCTGGCGCCTCGGCAGAACGCTACTCGGGAGTTCCTTTGTCGATGCACTTTGCGCTTTTTGTCTGACGAATAAAAGGTTGTTGGTCAGAACATGTTCGTGTGGGACTAGTTTACCTACCAAACTGTTCCGCAACCTCATCTCATTATTTTTACGGCTCAACACAGTAGAATTGTTAGATCCGTTCTTTATATGATTCTGAGCATACGGCGGGCGATTTTGTTCTAGAAAAGCAGATTGGTGCGTAATTTTGCAGTTTTTATGTGTGGACGGCGATGTCTTGCGCTAGACAGAGATAAGCAAGTCAAAATACTTATATATATCATAGCAATATTTTCCCGGCGAGAATTTAAAGCAAGAATACACAGCAGGTTTTATTAAAACCAACACTTTGCGACGGCTTATCAATTGCAAACTGAAATGCTTAACAGAGATTACGAACGCGAAGGATACGGAGATTTGAACTTCAGCAGAGAAACGGCAAAACATCGCTTACTGCACGCAGACATATCAACAAAAGTGTTGACTTAGAGCACAACTCAGGAAAAAAACAAAGGAAATTAGCACGCAGAGGGACGTACAAATCAAAATAGCTGAGATTTAGCTGGGCAAGCTAAGGTTTACCACGTGGTCCAGCTGTTTACTTAGGTCAGGTTCCTTCTGCGTGCAACAATCGATGAGAAGGCGTTTTATAATTAGAAGCCCATATTGATAAACGAGGGCAGTTTGTTCACATTCTCAGTCCGACTGTACTAGGGCCATTTCGTTCAGATAACCCCCTCCTAACAGAAGTAAAAATTGATTGTGTAAGTGTTAGAGCGAACATTACAATAGGCTCTTGCGCCAATGTATCTAAACCAACCTCATCTCCTTTTGTTTACCGGCTCAACATCCGTAAGGTATTCGTTTTTAGTCATTCTTAATTTAAGTCGCCTGTATTAAGTATATCAGTGTTCTTGTACTGCAGGCCCCCAATGCATTTCGCCTCGACTTTGCGGTTTCACTTTACGGCGGATTTTATATGCAGGTACATCTAAATATGTATCGCAGATTTCTCCTTGGTTGGACGATTTAACCAAACAATGGGCCATTTTTTAATTTAGGGTACATGGTTCGTTCAGGTGATTTCACACACGGCACGATACATCTAAGTGGCGATTAAGGATTTTACGCCAAATAACTGGGTGAGAAGTGTTCACAGGAATGTGAAAGAAAAATGTCTGGACAAAATTTTCAAAGCGCATGACCAAGTAAGCGACGGCGGCGCATGACGTAGCTCATAAACTATTCAGTAGTGCATATATTTCGTCGTCAGATAACTTTGCACAGTCAGCATGCAGGAAACGTAGTCTAAGTGAAGTACCGGAAAAATAACATCTTTCATTTCAGTGTTTCTGCCCCCTGTTTGGCCAGAATGTCTAGAAAAACACTGCTTACAAGCAATGGGGTTTGAACGTGTTGTCAAGCATACTTTATAGGTAGAATAGGCAAAGAATTTTGTTTTGAGAATCTTTTGTGTGCGATGATTTCAAATTGCAGCGTTTTTGATTATGAACTTTTAAACCTCATCAAAAAATATGCAGGTATTGATTTACAAATATAGTTGAGGCGCGTCTTTCAACAGATAAAATTGACGAAAACTGCAAAATGTCCTGCAGATAACAGCAGCTGAATGTCTGTGCGTTTTTTCAACCTCAGTCAGCACCAGTATTAAAAATTAACGTGCAATAGCCATTTTTCCACTGGGAAAGAGTTTTGAACTAAATGCCGGCACGAGCCCATATTGAAATATACTTCGCAATACAGTCACAATAGTCCCTTTTTCGTAGCATACATGTTCAATAAATACTTTATAACCTAAGTTGTTGGTTGCTGTCGTTGGTGGAAAACTAAACGGCAGACTAGACCCTCATGTACCCGCATTGCTTGAGATCTGAATTTGAACTCTTCAATTATTGTCCAATGAACCAAATGCTTCAATATCGAATCAAGGGTCCGGTATTTCCGTCCTTATGATTTCGAATTAACTTGGAGTCTATACAACGAGATGTGTTCACTAAGACTCGTCCTGGAGAATCATCCTGGGACATTTTGTACGTTTTCATCAGCGAGTTCGCTGCAATAGATGTCCGGACAAAACGTCTGTTTAATAACCGCTTCGTCGCTCGCCTAACTAAACACACTTCTTGTTTGATGAAGCACAGCGGATGGCTTTGGCGTTTCTAATCAAGTAATACAGGAACAAATCGAGTTTTTAAAAGTTGACGCAATTAAGACATTTTTCATATTAAAAGAATTTGATTGCTGCAATTCTTAGACGGAGGGTTAATTTGTCCGCTCATTCTTTAATCTGTGTTCAGCTGGCTAGTGACATCTGTATTCTGCCAGTGTGTCTAGCCAACATATTGCAAAACAAAATAGGTTTCGATGGCATACTGACTGAAATTCATATTTCTGTCATATGCATCTCAAAAATCGGTTTATTGGTCAGTATAACGTCAATATTTCTAACCATCGCTTTAACACCTTGATTCTGGTTTCAGTTTATTAATCCGCAGGAAAACAGACCTAATGGTTTTGATACGGTGTTTTGTCGGCGTGAGACCTCCAAAGGAGCCTGCGTTTAGTGCCAAAAAGATACAAATCTTGGAGCAGAGTAAGGGAGTGACGTGCTCGTTTGTTATGGTGTTTCTTATGCGTTTGTCCACGTCTCGCACAGTCAGCAAAAATTAATTTGCTGCTCTTAACTGTCCGAAGAAACCGTTTTCTACAGATTGACGGGAAATTTTCGCACAGATTCCACTAGACATAACTGAACAAAATTTATACCCGGTGGTTACGAGTTTGCGCATATGCGCTTACTCATTTCAGTCAAATTCCTTTCCTGACGGAATACAAATAATATCACTGGGCTCGTAGGCAACACGCCAAGCAGTCTTACGTTATTTTCTTGATATCACTGACGTAAATTCATAGTGTGATGTGAGCAGAATCACGTACTCTAGTCTTTGCTAACATTTCAGGGATTGGCCGGTTAGATTTCTGCTAAAACATCACATTTTCGCCTTAAGACAAGCAATTTTCGAGGCAAAAATGGCTTGAATATTTTATTGCAGGCAATCGATGCGTGAAAATTGGATCTTAATTCACTTATCAGGTTTGCCAAAAAGGTGCCGGTGTGCTAGATGTTGCGCGGTCAGACTGAAGAATTTAGTTCAGCCCTTTGGCAAAAGAAACTGATAGAATATTGGAAGATGGTAAAATCTGTTCGCAAATAGGGAGCTTTCTGTCTGGATGGATTTTTGTTGAATTTTAATGAAACCTGAGTAATGGGTCTAAAGTGTAGTTCAGTAATCCAGTGCCTGGTCAGTTTTTCAGATTTCAGCTGAAAACAATTTTGTGTCAACTCTGCGCAGTCATCGTCATTTGACCGGAAAACTGCGAGACCTCATACAAAAAGGTATTGTCAGTCGTGTTGAAAATTATTAGAT